ACCTGCCTAGTAGGGCCCAACGGGCCTCCTGCAGTGTTCCTTTCTTATGTTCTTATATATATATATATATATATATATATATATATATATATATATATATATATATGTGTGTGTGTGTGTGTGTGTGTGCTGGAAGTAAACCTTGAAGCTGTCGTCGCTACTGAACTCTTGCTAAAGTATCCCAGCTCAGGCTGACACATTTCATTACTTCATGCATGACATCCATCCTGTGTGATGGAATACGACAGGGGGGAAATATAGCCAAACTTTTGGCTCTCACAATGTAACTATTATATAAAATATTGTAGCAGCACTTTGTGTCTTCTGTGTGACTATCGTATAGAATAGGGTAACGACACACAGGAGGGGGAGGTCCCATTATGTAAATATCATAGGTACACACAGTGCAGGTGTTCCCACGGTGTATTACATAGTTTGTGATAGGTATACACTCAGGGTGTGTCATATTACGTTAAGGAAGTGTCCTAAACCGCTTTGCCAATCACCCTCTTTGCCTATCACCCTCTTTGCCTATCACCCTCTTTGCCTATCACCCTCTTTGCCTATCACCCTCTTTGCCTATCTCTTTAAATCCTCACTCACTGTATCACCCTTCAGGACACTTCTTCCCCCCTCTGCTCCCCCCGTCGTGGGGAAGGGGTGAGGCACTTCAGGTCCCGTCTTGTTATGGTGGGGTGCGGGGTAGAGACGTGCGGGGGGGGTGAAACATCATTACGCTGTTTCGCACTTATGTGGCTACAACGGGAGTTTCTTACCCGTGATAATGACACTGCTCTCTTCTTTCCCCCGCAGGTAGGAACGGGAGTAAAGGTGCAGCAGGCGGGATTATCGACCCTACCGACGGGGTTCTGGCATTAGGATCGCCTCCGCCGGTAAGATAGTGCTATACTCACATATATTTTCTGGGCTGGTGATGGATTGGTGAAATCGTGCTCTTGGGGGTGGGGTGGAGGGGGGAGGTTCTTCGGTGCTTTTATGTACTCTCTCTCTCTCTCTCTCTCTCTCTCTCTCTCTCTCTCTTTCCTTTTCTTTTTCTTTTTAATCTTTCTCTCTCTCTCTCTCACTATACTTAAAACCTTTTTATATTCTCTTTATTCTTACTTTAAAATCTCTCCAAAGTCACCTTAAATTCCCCAACTATTTAGGAGTATCTAATTCTGTCAGATAGTCGAGTATAATTCCCTATAAATTCCTCGATATTTTCCCCTAAATTCCAAGTCATATTTCCTTATATTTGTTGTAATATTTCCCTAAATGCCATAGTATATCTTCATCAATTCGAAAATACATTTTCCCTAAAATTCATTAATTCCTTTACTTCTCCAGTATTATTTTTTCCAAGTTTTTCGGATGATTTCTAAGAATTATTTAAAATATATCTATAAATTCCTTGGAATATTATCCCGTATTTTACTCTTTTCCTAAATTCTTAGGTATGTTTCCCCTAATTTCTGAGAGTACTTTCCCTAGATTCCTTGGGGAAATATTTCTAGATTTCTAGGAATATTCTTAGATTTCTAGGTATATTTCTAGATTTGTGGGTTATTTCCCTGAATTCCTAGGGAAATATTTCTATATTTCTAGGTATATTCCTTGATTTCTAGGTATATTTCTAGATTTCTCGGTATATTTCTAGATTTCTGGGTTATTTCCCTAGATTCCTAGGGTAAATATTTCTAAATTTACAGGTATATTCCTAGATTTCTAGATATATTCTAGATTTCTAGGTTATTTCCCTAGATTCCGAAGGGAAATATTCGTAGGTTTCTAGATATATTTCCCTGGATCCTAGGGAAATATTCCTTGATTGTTACGTCCATTTCCTTAATTTTTTTTAGGTATATTTCCCTCACTATGCATATTTTCTCTACCTTGGTATATATTCCCCAAAATTTCTCTAAAAAATAATCGATCATCACCAAGTCAATTAAAAAAAACTGAAATATTTTGGAAAAAAATGTAAAAAATGTATTAATTATCCAGAGCTAATTGCAATTGCAAAAGTTTTCGAGGTAATTTTTTTTTTTTAAATCTTTTGAGAATTACTATGCGGATTATAATTATCTATCGATAGATATCTATCGATAGATAGATGTAGAAAAATAGATAATTATAATCCACATAATTATAATTATAGACTACACAATAGCGTTTGTCAAGCTCTACACTGAGCTTTGTCAAGCTCTACACTGAGGTTTGTCAAGCTCTACACTGAGCTTTGTCAAGCTCTACACTGAGCTTTGTCAAGCTCTACACTGAGCTTTGTCAAGCTCTACACTGAGCTTTTTCAAGCTCTACACTGAGCTTTACCAAGCTCTACACTGAGCTTTGTCAAGCTCTACACTGAGCTTTGTCAAGCTCTACACTGAGCTTTGTCAAGCTCTACACTGAGTTTTGTCAAGCTCTACACTGAGTTTTGTCAAGCTCTACACTGAGCTTTGTCAAGCTCTACACTGAGCTTTGTCAAGCTCTACACTGAGCTTTGTCAAGCTCTACACTGAGCTTTGTCAAGCTCTACTCTGAGCTTTGTCAAGCTGTACACTGAGCTTTACCAAGCTTTACACTGAGCTTTGTCAAGCTCTAAACTGAGCTTTGTCAAGCTTTATACAGGGCGAAACGTCTCTCAGAAGCTTCCTCAGCAACCTACTTTCAGAAACACACACACACACACACACACACACACACACACACACACACACACACACACACACACACACACACGTGTGTCTGCACAGTTCTGGCAAGACGACTATTGAGTGAACGTTGGTGAATGTGTTTCTTTTTTGTGTAGGTGCAGCAGGCGACAGAGGAGTGCTGAGATGACCCCGTTGGTTTTCTTCAGTCGATCGGGAAATGATTCGACCATTACCTCCGCAGGCACTGAGCTGGACGACCCATCGAGTCGGTGCTGGGTCACTGGGTATGTCTGGGTGGCTGTTGACACTGCAGATCGCACCTACTGCCTTCCTCAGTACGAGGGATAGGAGAGAGAGAGAGAGAGAGAGAGAGAGAGAGAGAGAGAGAGAGAGAGAGAGACCACCAACAGTCCTACTATTAATCGTACACAGCTACCATTGCTATTACTATTGCTATTACACTATTCCTTTTGTTACCATTAATACTACAGTTGCTACTAGTATCATTATTACTATTGTTAATATTTCTACTACTACTACTACTACTACTACTACTAGTATCCTTACTACTGCAAGAGGAGAAGAGAGAGAGAGAGAGGGGGGATGGTTCACACAAACAAGTTACGAAAAGGAAGGTAACGAAGAGAAAGATAACGAAGAGGAAGGTAACGAAGAGGAAGATAACGAAGAGGAAGGTAACGAAGAGAAAGATAACGAAGAGGAAGGTAACGAAGAGGAAGATAACGAAGAGGAAGGTAACGAAGAGGAAGATAACGAAGAGGAAGGTAACGAAGAGAAAGATAACGAAGAGGAAGGTAACGAAGAGAAAGATAACGAAGAGGAAGGTAACGAAGAGAAAGATAACAAAGAGGAAGGTAACGAAGAGAAAGATAACGAAGAGGAAGGTAATGAAGATGAAGGGGAAGAGTTCATAGGGAATAATTAAGGCTTACGTGACACCCAGCCAGTAACGGAAGAAACGTTTTAATGTCTTCAAATAACGAGGTGTACTTGTGTCATTAAGATGACGTGATAGTGGAAAATAAGAGGGAGAGAGAGAGAGGGAGAGAGAGAAAGAGAGAGAGAGAGAGAGAGAGAGAGAGAGAGAGACAGACAGAGAGACACAGACAGAGAGACAGAGAGAGAGGAACAAAGGAAGTTGTGCATGAGAGTAAAAAAAGATAGTTCTCATCACGTTCATACATACACTCAGGCAGTCAGTCAGTCAGTCAGTCAGTCAGTCAGGCAGTCAGTCAGGCAGTCAGTCAGTCAGGCAGTCAGTCAGTCAGTCAGGCAGGCAGGCAGTCAGGCAGTCAGGCAGTCAGTCAGTCAGTCAGTCAGTCAGTCAGGCAGTCAGTCAGTCAGTCAGTCAGTCAGTCAGTCAGTCAGTCAGGCAGGCAGGCAGTCAGTCAGTCAGTCAGTCAGGCAGGCAGTCAGTCAGTCAGTCAGGCAGGCAGTCAGTCAGTCAGTCAGGCAGGCAGACAGTCAGGTAGTCAGGCAGGCAGACAGACAGACAGGCAGTCAGGCAGGCAGGCAGGCAGGCAGGCAGGCAGACAGACAGGTAGTCAGGCAGTCAGGCAGTCAGGTAGTCAGGCAGTCAGGTAGTCAGGTAGACAGGCAGTCAGGCAGTCAGGTAGTCAGACAGGTAGTCAGGTAGTCAAGCAGTCAGGTAGTCAGGCAGACAGGTAGTCAGGCAGGCAGACAGGTAGTCAGGCAGTCAGGCAGTCAGGTAGTCAGGCAGTCATGTAGTCAGGCAGTCAGGTATGCAGGCAGTCAGGCAGTCAGGTATGCAGGCAGATAGGTAGTCAGGCAGTCAGGTAGTCAGGCAATCAGGTAGTCAGGCAGTCGGGTAGTCAGGCAGTCGGGTAGTCAGGCAGTCAGGCAGTCAGGTATGCAGGCAGTCAGGTATGCAGGCAGGCAGGCAGTCAGGTAGTCAAGCAGTCAGGCAGTCAGGCAGTCAGGTATGCATGCAGTCAGGTATGCAGGCAGTCAGGTAGTCAGGCAGTCAGGTATGCAGGCAGTCAGGTATTCAGGCAGGCAGGCAGTCAGGTATTCAGGCAGGCAGGCAGTCAGGTATTCAGGAAGGCAGGCAGTCAGGTATTCAGGCAGGCAGGGAGTCAAATATTCAGGCAGGTAGGCAGTCAGGTATTCAGCCAGGCAGGCAGCCAGGTATTCAGGCAGGCAGGCAGTCAGGTATTCAGGCAGGCAGGCAATCAGGTATTCAGGTATGCAGGCAATCAGGTATTCAAGCAGGCAGGCAATCAGGTATTCAGGCAGGCAGTCAGATATTCAGGCAGGCAGGCAGTCAGATATTCAGGCAGGCAGACAGTCAGATATTCAGACAGGCAGGCAATCAGGTATTCAGGCAGGCAGGCAATCAGGTATTCAGGCAGGCAGGCAGTCAGGTATTCAGGCAGGCAGGCAGTCAGGTATTCAGGCAGGCAGGCAGTCAGGTATTCAGGCAAGCAGGCAATCAGGTATTCAGGCAGGCAAGCAGTCAGGTATTCAGGCAGGCAAGCAGTCAGGTATTCAGGCAGGCAAGCAGTCAGGTATTCAGGCAGGCAAGCAGTCAGGTATTCAGGCAGGCAAGCAGTCAGGTATTCAGGCAGTCAGGCAGTCAGTCAGTCAGTCAGGCAGTCAGTCAGGCAGTCAGTCAGGCAGTCAGGCAGTCAGGCAGTCAGTCAGGCAGTCAGGCAGTCAGGCAGTCAGTCAGTCAGGCAGTCAGTCAGTCAGGCAGGCAGTCAGGCAGGCAGTCAGTCAGGCAGGCAGTCAGGCAGGCAGTCAGTCAGTCAGTCAGTCAGTCAGGCAGGCAGGCAGTCAGTCAGTCAGTCAGTCAGTCAGGCAGTCAGGCAGTCAGGCAGTCAGTCAGTCAGTCAGTCAGTCAGTCAGGCAGGCAGTCAGGCAGGCAGTCAGTCAGGCAGTCAGTCAGTCAGTCAGTCAGGCAGTCAGGCAGTCAGGCAGTCAGGTAGTCAGGCAGGCAGACAGACAGGCAGTCAGGCAGTCAGGCAGGCAGGCAGGCAGGCAGGCAGGCAGACAGACAGGTAGTCAGGCAGTCAGGTAGTCAGGCAGTCAGGTAGTCAGGCAATCAGGTAGTCAGGCAGTCGGGTAGTCAGGCAGTCGGGTAGTCAGGCAGTCAGGCAGTCAGGTAGTCAGGCAGGCAGGCAGTCAGGTATTCAGGCAGGCAGGCAGTCAGGTATTCAGGCAAGCAGGCAATCAGGTATTCAGGCAGGCAAGCAGTCAGGTATTCAGGCAGGCAAGCAGTCAGGTATTCAGGCAGGCAAGCAGTCAGGTATTCAGGCAGGCAAGCAGTCAGGTATTCAGGCAGGCAAGCAGTCAGGTATTCAGGCAGTCAGGCAGTCAGTCAGGCAGTCAGTCAGTCAGTCAGTCAGTCAGGCAGTCAGTCAGGCAGGCAGTCAGGCAGTCAGGCAGGCAGTCAGGCAGTCAGGCAGTCAGTCAGTCAGGCAGTCAGTCAGTCAGTCAGTCAGTCAGTCAGGCAGGCAGTCAGGCAGGCAGTCAGTCAGTCAGTCAGGCAGGCAGGCAGGCAGTCAGTCAGTCAGTCAGGCAGTCAGGCAGGCAGTCAGTCAGGCAGTCAGTCAGTCAGTCAGTCAGTCAGTCAGTCAGGCAGTCAGTCAGTCAGTCAGTCAGTCAGTCAGTCAGTCAGGCAGTCAGTCAGTCAGTCAGTCAGTCAGTCAGTCAGGCAGTCAGGCAGTCAGTCAGGCAGGCAGGCAGTGAGGTAGTCAGGCAGGCAGACAGACAGGCAGTCAGGCAGTCAGGCAGGCAGGCAGGCAGGCAGGCAGGCAGGCAGACAGACAGGTAGTCAGGCAGTCAGGTAGTCAGGCAGTCAGGTAGTCAGGTAGACAGGTAGTCAGGCAGTCAGGTAGTCAAGCAGTCAGGTAGTCAGGCAGACAGGTAGTCAGGCAGGCAGACAGGTAGTCAGGCAGTCAGGCAGTCAGGTAGTCAGGCAGTCATGTAGTCAGGCAGTCAGGTATGCAGGCAGTCAGGTATGCAGGCAGATAGGTAGTCAGGCAGTCAGGTAGTCAGGCAATCAGGTAGTCAGGCAGTCGGGTAGTCAGGCAGTCGGGTAGTCAGGCAGTCGGGTAGTCAGGCAGTCGGGTAGTCAGGCAGTCAGGTAGTCAGGCAGTCAGGTATGCAGGCAGTCAGGTATGCAGGCAGGCAGGCAGTCAGGTAGTCAAGCAGTCAGGTAGTCAGGCAGTCAGGTATGCATGCAGTCAGGTATGCAGGCAGTCAGGTAGTCAGGCAGTCAGGTATGCAGGCAGTCAGGTATTCAGGCAGGCAGGCAGTCAGGCAGGCAGTCAGTCAGGCAGTCAGTCAGTCAGTCAGTCAGTCAGTCAGGCAGTCAGGTAGTCAGGCAGGCAGACAGACAGGCAGTCAGGCAGTCAGGCAGGCAGGCAGGCAGGCAGGCAGGCAGACAGACAGGTAGTCAGGCAGTCAGGTAGTCAGGCAGTCAGGTAGTCAGGCAATCAGGTAGTCAGGCAGTCGGGTAGTCAGGCAGTCGGGTAGTCAGGCAGTCAGGCAGTCAGGTAGTCAGGCAGGCAGGCAGTCAGGTATTCAGGCAGGCAGGCAGTCAGGTATTCAGGCAAGCAGGCAATCAGGTATTCAGGCAGGCAAGCAGTCAGGTATTCAGGCAGGCAAGCAGTCAGGTATTCAGGCAGGCAAGCAGTCAGGTATTCAGGCAGGCAAGCAGTCAGGTATTCAGGCAGGCAAGCAGTCAGGTATTCAGGCAGTCAGGCAGTCAGTCAGGCAGTCAGTCAGTCAGTCAGTCAGTCAGGCAGTCAGTCAGGCAGGCAGTCAGGCAGTCAGGCAGGCAGTCAGGCAGTCAGGCAGTCAGTCAGTCAGGCAGTCAGTCAGTCAGTCAGTCAGTCAGTCAGTCAGGCAGGCAGTCAGGCAGGCAGTCAGTCAGGCAGTCAGTCAGTCAGTCAGTCAGTCAGTCAGGCAGTCAGTCAGTCAGTCAGTCAGTCAGGCAGTCAGGCAGTCAGTCAGGCAGGCAGGCAGTGAGGTAGTCAGGCAGGCAGACAGACAGGCAGTCAGGCAGTCAGGCAGGCAGGCAGGCAGGCATGCAGGCAGGCAGACAGACAGGTAGTCAGGCAGTCAGGTAGTCAGGCAGTCAGGTAGTCAGGTAGACAGGTAGTCAGGCAGTCAGGTAGTCAAGCAGTCAGGTAGTCAGGCAGACAGGTAGTCAGGCAGGCAGACAGGTAGTCAGGCAGTCAGGCAGTCAGGTAGTCAGGCAGTCATGTAGTCAGGCAGTCAGGTATGCAGGCAGTCA